CCAATTTTATTTAAGAGTCAAGTAATGCAGCCACATTCCTAACATGAAAAAGCATTTCTGGAAATGCTTTTTCATTTGAAATTTGTTAACGATTTGCTTCCATACCTATGGACTTGTTCATAAGAGTTCAATTAGTTCATATGAGTCAATGCAGGTGAATGAATATCCTTGGCACTGCAGTGTATATTTTCATTAGCCACTGCTATTGGATAATTTCAAACTGAATGTTTATAGATGATGTCTAGCTTTTCAAATTACATTTTAAATTTTCACACCATGCCGATCTTTTATTATCAGAGTAGGTTTGGAAATTGTCTAGGTATTGTAAAGACATATTAGACCCTTTATCAAATAGTGATTTAATGCTGATAAAGTGTAATGAAGTGATATTGGGTAAAGTTTGAGACTTTCGTGTAGCTAGAATACAGCTCCTAAAAAAATATAAATCATGACTGTATTTTGTATGATTTGTAGGAACCAGAACTACAACTTGAAGAACACTGCACCATGAATAACATTGATCATTAATGAACAAAAAGATAATTCTTGAGATTTTCCTCCAGTGGAATCCTCATACTTCATTTTCTTCTTAGTTTTGCAACCTGGTTATACTACTGATGCTAATTTAACAAGAGAAGAAAGAGAGCCTTCTTATGAACTAATGGACTGTGATTTCAGACTACTTGACCATGTTGACTAAGATTATGCCCCCTCTAGTAGAATGGCAGGACTAATACAGTAAAGATATTGTCCAAGGCCATCTGTAAAATTGTTCACCAACTATTCCTCTTTAATGCTGATCATATCAAGTTTTACTGAAATCAACTAGGGTCGAAGTGCGATTACCTATGTGCTTGTTGTGCTGTTTTTCACATAAAGTCCTTCGCTTCTGAAATGCATGAATTAAGGAAATTAAACTTTATTGATCTCACAATGGAGAAATGTACTCTATGCATTTAACCCCTCTCCTTGGGGAGGAGTGGGCTGCCACTGTGCGGTGCCAGGGGAGCAGTGTGGGATTAAGGGTCTTGCTCAGAGGCCCAGAGTGCCGGCTGTGGGGATCAAACCGGGTACATCTTTCTCAGAGCACAAGCGCACTGCTCTATCCACTAGGCAGGCATATAGGCATATAGAAGAGGTAGCGGTAACTGGGGTGGAAAATCATCCTCTTTGCTCATCAAATATTGATACTCAGATCATGGAGTTACTAATTTGCTTTGCTGTACTGTGTTCATTTGTTTCATAACTTCTGCAGATAGATACAGGAAAAACATTGCAGCCAGGGATAGACAGTGGACATGCACTGTCATACCTTATCTTTATATTTAAAAAATGCCATGATGATTACACTGGGATCATTCCAGCCCTGCAACCAGTGTGCCCTCTCGATAGTGCCGGGGGGTGGAAAGGTGTCCCATCCCACAATCTCCATCAGCATGGCTTGCTGGTGAAGATTCTCAGTCATCCAGGTGATAGTCATTCCAAAAAGGTTAAAAGCACAATCCACTGGACATTGTTTCCAAGTTTGAAGACGTTTCACTTCCCATCAAGAAAGCTTTTTCAATTCAAAATATCAGAAATTGCGTTGAGCTTGAGGCTTGAACTCAACACAATGACTTAACAATCCTGTTCAGGGTTAAAATCAATGACTTTTTTAAAGCAAACAATAAACCTCTAAAGAGCATTTCTTACCTCATCTTTTGTTAATTTATGTCCATATTTCATTTTGATAAAAAGAAAGCTAAGTGTTTGCTGCTTTCCTTCATTTTAAGTAAGAGCCACAACCAGTCAGCAAAGAATTAGCTGATTTGTTGTCTTGATGCAACAAGACAGAAACTTTTAGATTTTCCAACTCAGTGGACTATTGCATCCATCAAATGTGTTATGTTACTCCTGTGTAGCTAGAATAACCAAAATGTTTCCTTTCTAGGACAATGTCTCTCGCAAACCTTTTTGTCACATCACTCCTGTGACCTCAGGGCAACCCAGACCAGTTTAGACTGCATTTATACCATATTTATTTTGGCCTGCACTGAACGTTTACGTAGTATTGCCCTTTTGAACCATTTTTAAACTGGTTTTTCTTTTCTACAATATGTTTACATGATGATCACTGCTGCACTTTAACTGGTAATGTTAATTTCCCAGTGTAAGCTGTAAGCAATGTAATTTTGTTTTGCATACAAACAAATGTATACAAAATGACAATAAAGTTTTTTTAAGTCTATGTAACAGGCAAGCTTATTATTATTAAAGGTTGGAAGAAGTCGGGGCAGTTGAAGAGAAAGTGCAGATACTAAATAACATTGGTTCAAACTGGTTGCAATAATTTATTACAAATATTGAAGGCATATGCTAATAAGTTTATAAGTTTAAATTGCAACCTTTGATAACCATGCTGACACTATTTGTACAGTTACACTTTTTGTTTATGAACTCAGTAAGCTGTTAATAATAATCTTGAAAACGAGTAATTAGGTCCATGGAGAAATCATGAATTTAATAAAAGCCATCAATGAACTAAGATCAACTGCCTTCTACATTAGAAAACAAACAGCAAAACATGAATTCATGATCCTTGCATCTTAAAGGTGAATTTCTCAGTTGTTAATTATTCTGTTTATGATGTTATTATGTCTTTGTACAACACATTTATGGATGTTGAAGCCAATGACACGTATTTAACTCTTGATGGACATGTGGACTTGCATAAATACAAATATCTTTATTTTTCAGTTACACTGACTGTCTATATTTTCATTGTTATCTGTAATCTGACCATTGTGTATGTAATTTGGATGCATAAAAACCTCCATGAGCCCATGTACATTTTCATTGCAGCTTTGCTTTTGAACTCTCTTGTTTTCAGCACTAATATCTATCCAAAACTTATTTCAGATTTTCTGTCTGAAAAACAGGTTATATCATATCCTGCTTGTTATTTACAGTTTTTCCTATTTTATTTTTTGGGTGCTTCAGAGTTTTCACTGTTGGCAGCTATGGCATATGATCGTTATGTGTCTATATGTAAACCTTTGCAATATACAACAATAATGGGAAAAACCACAGTCAGCATTTACCTAAGTTTAGCTTGGCTGGTGCCTGCTTGTCTTATTGCAGTTATGGTAACACTGAGTACTAGTATAAAACTCTGTAAATTGAGCATTAATGGAATTTTATGTAATAACTCAATTTACAGTCTCCACTGTGTAGGTTCAAAGGTGCAAACAGTATTTGGTGCTGTCGTACTGGTTATAACTCTATTGTTTCCTCTGCTTTTCATAGTTTTCACTTACTCTAGAATATTTATAATATCATATCGCAGTTCCAAAGAGGTCAGAAAGAAAGCAGCTCAGACATGCTTGCCGCACCTACTAGTTTTGATCAGTTTCTCCTGTTTGTGTGCATTTGATGTTATCATAGTCCGACTGGGATCCAACTTTACAAAGGTTGTCCGATTAGTAATGACTTTACAGGCGATTTTGTATCACCCTTTGTTTAATCCAATCATTTATGGTTTGAAAATGAAAGAAATATCAAAACAACTGAGAAGGATGTTTAATCAAATTAAGGTAATGAACTAATTAAGTTTACTACTTTAATCTTTAGAAATCAGAAAACTTTATTCAAGCATTCTATGAATTTTTATTAAATAAGATTTTTACTGAGAAAATGTAAAAAAAAAGCGAGATTTACAAAAATGTCTTCATGAAATAAAGTCATACCATTAACGTAAATACTTAGTGATAGTTTTCATTGTGTCTTTTTTTTTTTTTTTACTAGTTTGAGAAGTATGATGCTTGATTTATAAAAAAGTTATGAAAAAACAATGAAATAAGTCAGGTACAGTTGGTCTTATGTAAAGTTTTTGTGACTGGCACAGGTGACAGGACTGTATTTTTTCTTAAAATAACAAAAATTCAACTTAATCTTTACATTAAAACTGTATTGATTAATTTAAAAGCTTCAGACCTCTTTGTTCTCATGTTCTCTAATATATTCCTGCTCTGGCATTTATCTGACTAAATCGAAAATGCTGTTAAAGGTGCAGTTAATGCCTGATAGCACTCGTATGTCTTCTTTAAAGTAGAGTGCTGAGAAAAAATTATGTTTTGCCATATTTCATTTTGTTTTCCTTTTTTGTTACACCTAAATGTTACAAATAAGAAGTTGAAAAAGATAACCTAAGTAAATTCAAAAGGCAGTTTTTGATTATTAGTTCATTACAGGAAAGAAAGTATCAAAACTAGCCTTCCCCTGGATGAATTGTATTTGCAACTTTTCCAGTGAGGAATTAATTCTTATTAAAAAATATTAGAAAGCCGAGCTTAATTTAATAAGAATCCAAAAGCAGTACCGTAGATCGGATTTGACTGAGTTAAGAGACTGAGACCTGGCTGAAATTCCTGATGTTTAAGAATAATTGCAAGTTATCCCAAACTGCTGATTTCAGCTCTTGCCTCCAGATATTTACCGGTTGTTAGGCTTAGGGGCAACTAAGTTTCTATATACCACAAGGTTGATTTTAATGACTTTATATCTGTCATCAACTTAACAAACATTTGAAAACTGAATTTTGTATGTAGTTCAGATTATATGTATCCAAATAGGAGTTTTTGTAATACTGGACAAAGTCTGTAACGAGGCAAACACTTTTTCACAGCACTTTAGTATTCATACATCTTCTTATGTATTTATTTACTTGTTTTAAGAGCAAGATGTTTCACATTTACATCTGTTATTCATAGTTTGACTTAAGTGCAAGTAATGAACAAAAACAAAGGCAGTTCACAGAGTTCATCTGAATGATAATAAATCGAACTTTTCCTTCTAGATTTGGAATTGGGTCCTGATATGGTACTAAGGAACAGAGGAATATAAATTGACAGGAAAGACGAGAATTTGGATTGAAAGTGAAAAAAGAAAAGTTGAGTGTACTGTTTGCGGAGGAAGTGGAGACTTGGAGGCGGTGACCAACCAAAGCTGAGAACAACAGCTGTGCATGACTGTAGGGAGGAGTTGTCGGGAGTTAGGAGGGTGGAGAGGAAGGTTTTTGAAAAGAGCAATCCCCCTCCATATTAAACTATATTTTAGGGTCAGGGTGAATGAGAATGGGAGTATGCGGAGACTCTTCTACTGATATCATTAAATGCTTAGTCAGCTGTTGTTAACAAAGAAAAAAGTAAAGTACAATGCTCAAAAAACAGAGAACACTCAAATAACACATCCTTGACCTGACAGAATGAAATACTCCTATTGAATACTTTGTTCTGTACAAAGATGAATCTGCTGAATAACAAAATCAAACAAAAAGCTTCAATGAAAAACAAATGTTTTAACCAATGCAAGCTGGGATTAGGAGTCACATACAATAAAAGTGAAGGAAAAAACCACAACACTGCCAGATCCAACTTTAACGTTTTTGAAAAAGTCGAATTTAGGCTCAGCATTGTGTGTGGCCTCCACAATCATGTATGAACTAGTTACAACACCGCGGCATGCTCCTTACGTGGTGGCATATGATCTCCTGGGGGATCACCTCCCAGACCTGTACTAAAGCATCCACCGACTCCTGGGCAGTCTGTGATGCCATGTGCGTTGGTGGATAGATTGAGACATGATGTCCCAGATGTGCTCAATAGGATTCAGTTTTGGGGAAGGGGATGGCCAGTCCACAGCTTCAATGCCTTCATCTTGCTGGAACTGCTGACAAATTCCAGCCACGTGAGGTTTAGTATTTTTCTTCATTAGGAGGAACCCAAGGCCAACCGCACCAGCATATGTTCTCACAAGGGATATGAGGATCTCATCTCGATACCTAACAACAGTCATGCTTACTCTGGCGAGCACATGGAAGTCTGACCATTACTCACCCACTGCCAAACCAGTCACGTTGAAGGATGTTGCAGGAAGCCAATTGTTCTCCAGGGGTCTCCAGACTCTGTCACATCTGTCATATGTGCTCAGTATAATTGAACACTATTGATCTCACGTTGGAGAAATGTACCTCTGCATTTAACCCACCCATTTCTCAGCCTTCATAAAAAGAAAATTTTCTAAAAAAATTCTAAAGAACCTAATAAATAAGATGTTCTTTAACAAAATCAGGACATCCTCTATATAGACAAAGACAAAGAAGTTGATGGAGTCCTTAAGGAAGTCATTGACAAGTTTTTGGAAGACGGTATAACAGGGATTTAAAATGCTTGTGTATTGTCTCCAGTTGCAGTTACAGGACAATTTTTTCTGGGAAGACTCTGTTTTTTATGGGGGCAAAAGAAGTATGAAACAAAAAGGGCGATATTCTTTTTACCTGCAGATACAAGCGGCTGAAATTAGTTTTCTCCGCAGTGTGTCTGGGCTATCCCTTAGAGATAGGGTGAAGAGCTCATCTTGGTAGGACTCAGGGAAGAACCTCTGCTCCGCCACGTCGAGAGGAGCCAATTGGTGTGGCTCAGGCATCTGGTTAGGATGCCTCCTGGACGTCTCCCTGGTGATGCCTCCTGGACTCCTTAGTCCTAAACCTAAAGTTCTTCTCATGAGGACCAGTTGTTTGTCCCCACAGTGACCTATATGTCCTCCAAATGTAGAACAATTCTGGGAAATTATCCGAATAAGCTATAACAAATACATGCCCGCACACATTTCTTTGCGGGTAGTAACTTTTTTTCATAGCTTTTGTGTATGCTTTATTGAGGAACATTATCATTTAGCATTAGCTCCAAGTTGGCCTCCAAGGTTCCATGGAGCTTAATGACTTCCATTGGGAGTTAAGTAATTGTTACGGCTGTCGCCGTCATATTTGTGTTTCCCTTTTTTTTCTTTATTTTTCCTCTTTCTCACCTCTACTAAGTAGGCTGCATTGCCCTGTGGAAAGACCCGCCTCCTTCCTGGTTTCTGGGGATCTGACTTCAGTCCCATCCATTGGTTCCCTCAGTTCCACTTCAACCAGTGGCTTGTCACCACCTGCAATCACCTTCTGCTCATAAGGAGACCTCACCTGTTGATTGAGGCAGCTTTTCAAAGCCAGTCAGTATATATAGTGTTATATATAGTGTTATATATAGTGTTTGGCTTATGTGCATCTTTACTAGCTTAAGGCTAGAAAGAGGGTGGAGGTATGGCCAGAGTCTTCACTGATTGCATCACTGAGTTTTTCTTTGTTAGTTACATTGGGTGTAGTGGGTGCTGTGCTGTCTGTGTTTTTAAGTAAGAATCCCCATTGTTTAAATGTGTAGTTTGGCATGATTCTCCTTTTAAGGATCTCTTTTATTTAACTTTGTTATTTTCACAGCACCCTCATCCACCCTCCTTTGATTTGTTCATTGCTTGCACCTCTTGTTATCAAATAAATTCTAATTTTATAAGAACTTACCGGTTTCTGCCTATATGTTTATGCCCCCACTCCCCTAGACCAACAGGGGGTGGTAACATATACGAGGGCTTCTGGCCTGGGTTGATGACAGATACAGCTACATTTTGCAGTAGTTGTCACATATGTCAGGTGACAGGGAAACCAAACCA